CCTTTGGATGCACCTAATTTTTGTGAATTCTTTTAGAGATAGTCCATGTCTGTACAGGTAAATGAAATGTACCCTTTTTCTCCTTTTCAAAAATAAATATAGTGGGGCTGGCAGGTGGCATGGTGGTTAAGGGCCCTGGACTTCCACTTGGTCGACCATGGTTCGTGTCTCGGACCTGGCTGCTTGCTTTCTCGCTTTCTCACTTTCTCTCTCTTCTCTCTCGTGTCTCTCTCTGGTCAAATTAAAAATAAATAAATAGGGTTAAATAAAATAATTATTTAAAATAAATAAATGAATGAATGAATAAGTATGATAGCACGCTATGTACCCTGTTTTGCATATGGCTTTTTAAAAGTTTAACCTAGATCTGGGAGAGGTTTCAATGTCAGGGTTTTGTGCATTTGAATGCTAGTAAGAGTCTTCTGAGCTTAACCCCGACTGCAATGGAAGGCAGTTCATACTTGTCTAATTGCTCCGTCAAATCCTCTGCCAAGGGACCAGCAGTTAGCGTAATGGCTATGTCGCTGGACTCCCACGTAGTCGACCCCGGATTGAGTCCCGGACCTGGTGGCTTAAACTCACTCCAGGCGCACACGTGTGTGCCCAAGATTCCTAGAGGAGAATGGAGGAGGAGGGATTGCGGCGTGGCCATGCCCCTGGGGGGATGATTTCTCGCTTTCTGTCTCTGTCTCTCTCTCTCTCTTTCTGGCGAGCTCACGCGCCCTATAGCAAAAACCTCTCCAGAAAAAAATAAAAAATCCTTTGGCAATTTTCCAGTTGTAATTTCATCAGTATGTGATACTCTTCCAAAATTCTGTACTTGGTCTGGCCTCTTAACACAGTGGTTAAGCCCTGTGCATAAGGAAGCTGGATCTCACATAGCCAACCACAGTTCAAATCCTGGCTTTGGTGGCTTGAAAAACCTCCTGGGTGCACGTATGCCCAAAGTCCTGCCAGGGTGGGGAAAAGAAGGAAGAAGAATTGCAGTGTGACCCTGCCCCACTGGGGGCGCTTCCTTTCTCTCTCTCTCAATAGCAAATCCACATATCCTCTGGCAGCAAATACTGTAAAATGAAAATGGTTAAATCCTAGGGAACCAGCAGTTAGCGTAATGGCTATGTCGCTGGACTCCCATGTAGTTGACTGCGGTTCGCGTCCCGGACCCGGTGGCTTAAAACACACGCCAGGCGCGCGTGCGTGCGTGCGTGCCCAAGATCCCGAGAGGAGAATGGAGGAGAAGGGATTGCGGCGTGGCCATCCCCCCGGGGGGTGATTTCTCGTTTTCTGCCTCTCTGTCTCTCTCTGTCTGTCTGGCGAGTGCACGCACCCTATAGTGAAAAACCTCTCAACAACAACAAAAAAAGGTTAAATCCTAAATTCTTCACTTCAGTCCTTCTTTTGCTGTTAATTCAATAACTCTCTCGTGTCTTTTCCTACTTTTCCTTACTAACCCTTGATTGTTCAGAAATATTTACTTTTTATGAGGTCACATCAGTATCACCCTAGGGGGTGATTTCTCGCCTTCTCTTTGTCTCTTTTCTTTTCTTTTCTTGTCTTTTTAATTTTATTTATTTATTTTTGCTATAGGGCGCATGCTCTCGCCACAAAGGCAGAGAGAGACAGAAAGCGAGAAATCAAAATGGCCACACTGCAATCTCTTCTCCTCCATTCTCCTCTCAGGATCTTGGGCACGCATGCACACGCGCCCGGTGTGAGTTTAAGCCACCGGGTCCGGGACATGAACCGCGGTCGACTACATGGGAGTTCAGCGACATAGCCATTACGCTAACTGCTGGTCCCTCTGTCTTTCTGGTGAGCGCACGTGCCCTACGGTAAAAACTCCAATAATAATAATAATAATAATAGGCTCGTCTCCGTGTGGGCAGAGAGGGAGGCAGGGCACCCCGGGTGGGGAGCAGCGTGCAGTCACAGAGCTGGACGGCAGGCCTGCAGGACCGTGTGCGATTCAGGTAGCTGACCGGGAGGGTGTGCAGGGACAGCATGGCGAGATCCGGCTGTGGAGGGCGGCTGTGCCGCAGCAGTGGGCGGGACAGGGTGGAGTGGGCCAGACCGAAGACCAGAGGGTGCCAGAGATGTGTGGTGGCGGGCCAGCTGGTGGCGTGGTGGCCGAGGCAGCCGGGTTCCATGTGGCTGGCTGTGGTTCCAGTTCTGGACCCAGTAGCTTAAAAAGCACCCGTGCATCTTGAAATCCCTAGAGAATGGAGGGGGCGGGCTGGCGGCATGGCTGTCTCCCTGGCGGTACGTTCTCATCCCGAGCCCCCAGCCCCATCTCTGGGACAGCTGGTGAGACGGGGAAAGGTGGAGAGGCTGGGAGCTGGGGCGAGGGGCCGAGGGCGAAGCTGCGTGAGGATTTCATGGTGCGCTGGGTGTCCGTGGCAGGGAACAAGGGACGCGCACCCACGGTCTTGCACACCTCACCTGATTCCATCCGGCCAGCCAGTGTGGAAATGCCCGGGACTCACGTGCCGCCCCGCCCGGGGCCACGCTGTCAGAAAGGCCTTCAGGGGTACAGCCCTTTGGGACCACGTGGCCCAGAGTGTGCTAGGTCTGTGTCTTCAGAGACCGGGTAGGTGCGTGTTACGGGGTGGAGAAAACATGAGTGGTTTTGGACACAGAGACGTGGCGACGACGAGCCCCTGGTCTGTGCCGAGTCGAGCTGCCTGGGTGTGATGGGGAGAGCACCCACGGGTGGGTGGTGCGGGTCGGGTGCTCCCAACAGCTGTCGGGCTGGAAGTCATCACGCCAGGGGGACATCGCGGGGGCATCTGGAGAGACCACGTCACACGGACCCTGTGAGTGGAGGCCACCCAATAACGTAGACCCACACAAGAAGGCAGGCCACTGCTCATGTCACTGAGAAGCCCCCAAGTATATTTGGCTTCGGGGCTGGGTCCAGGGTTCACGGGTCCCCGGAACTCATTTCTGTCCCCTTCCGTCGCGGCCTCCTTTTGCGCTGCGCGTCTGTGCGGTGGCCCCTGCAGCTCTGGCCTCTCGTTATAGCAATGGGGAGCTCTGGGTTTG